AGCCTCCTGGCCCAGCCTCGCACACCACAGTGTGTTCTCTGCTCTCTAATTAAGCGGCAGTTTTTTAAATCAAATTTGTAACCCATGTTCATCATTTCATATGCTGAGGTGGGTGACACACAACGGTATAAACACAATCACACGTGCGCACAGACACACACATAGAGATGTCACGGCCAGACACTCCCAGGCCACACTTCCTGCCACCCCTCCTGGGCATGTGCTCCTGGCTGAGCTGCATGGCCACTGCGGGAGGACCTGGGACGTGGCCGTCCCTGCTGTGCTCTGCCCGCCTGGCCCTGCACAGTGCTGAGGACCCAGTGTTGGGCAGAATCCTCCACGCCCAGGCCGAAATCCTCCTCTGCAGGCTCAGACCCCCAGGTTCAAGATGGAGTCAATACAGGAGATGAAGGAGCTTCAGAGACCTGGCAGGAGACAGCCCAGTCCCGGCCGGCCCTCCTGAGGGACAGCACCTCCCAATCCCTGGCAGGGCCCAGCCCTCCCCAGGGCCATCCTCGCCCTGCACTGGGAGTGGGAAGGCCAGACTCCTGCGTCCTGCCAGCCTGGCGTGGCCGGTGTGTCAGCCGTCACCTCCACTCCCAGCCCCTCGGTGTTGACGGTCTCAGCGGACGAGAGCCCCGTCGCCGTCGGTGTGGGTTTATCTAGTTTCTGCATCACACGAGGAACAGCAGCAAATGATGATAAAGGACTTGGGTGTTTCTAACCCTTCCCAAGTCCACCCCTCCCGGGCAGCTGTTCACGCTCATGTGGCCTGTCCAGGTCTGCAGGCGGTCAGGGGAGAGGAGGCCGACGGGCCAATCAGCAGTCTGCACATGACGCTGCACTGGGACCGTGGCTGTCCTTCCTCCCGCTCCTCACAGAGCCTGTGTGCCCTGAGAACCACGGCAGGCAGCGGCGGCGGGTCCCCCCGTCCCCACACAGACCCAGATCCCTCCTCATGCAGTCCAGAGGCTGGGAAAGCAGCAGCTGGGCTTCAGGCCCAGAGCCGTGCAGCCCCTGGCCAGGGCAGTGACTGAGGAGGACACTGTGGAAGCCTCTCTCCTCTCAGACACTCAGGCCTCTGGCTCTTCCTCCGGCTCTTCCTCGGGCAGCCAGGAAGGCTGGGCACAGCCTTGGGCCTCACCGAGAGCAGCTCCAGTGCTCTAACAGCCTCAAAAGGTCTATCATCGAGCCCTCACCAGCCCAGAATGGGCCTCCACGGCCCTGCCCACTGCCCCTGCCTGGCTCTGGGACTCATGCACACATTATAATGGGAAGAATTTTTTTTTTTTAATTTAACAGATACTGCTTATGAATTTCAAGGGCCAAGAACTGTGTTGTGACTCCTAAGTCCTTTGTCCATTTTTAGAAATAAACTGATGGGCGTAGCAGACATGCCAGCGCCCTGCGTTGGCTGCCACCCTCACGATGTCACGGATCCATGACCCCCACATTGAGCCACAACAATGACCATAATCGCATTAAGCACCTCCATGCGTTAAGCCCACCCCTTCGCACCGGCCACCTGGGTTCACAGAATGACGCTTCACTTCCAAAATGAAGAGCTAACTAGATAAACGAAAGCAGAATCCTATTTACTCAATCAACACTCTGCCCTCAGAGCAGCTGCCGAAGACAGGCATGCCAAGGCCAAGCGGAAAGTCCCGGGGAATTAGGGCACAGGGACATTGTGCTCGGGTGGCCGGCCGCAGACGCTCATCTCCCCCACACGCTGTCAACCAACTGCAGAAGAAGCTCTTGGATCGTGTGCTTTGCCCCGGGAACGGGCTCCCCTGCCATCGGGATTTGCAGTCAAAGCTCGATCCACAGTCACAGGGGAAGCGCTGGCTGTTCCCTCCATGCAGGAAGGACTGGTGGGGGCACGCCTGGCTCTGTCCCCCCAGCCTCCGCGTCCCCTGTCCTCTGAGTTCTGTTCTACTCTTCCTGCACCGAGTGGCATCACCAGAGACAGTGTGTGCTGCAGCACCATGGTGTCCCAGTGACTCCAAGACTTCAAGAAAAATATTTCAGAGCCTTTGCAGGAAGAAAGTGGAAATTTTTACAGTTCCAGCTGTTGTCTTAACTTAGTGTTCCAAAAGCCATGTGACCTAGGGGACAAAGGAATGGCCTTCCTCTCCCCTCCTCCTCTCCACCTCACATGCCTCTGCACCCAAGGAGCTGCAGGATCTAAAACCAGGTCCCCTGACACCCACTATGTCCCCACCCTCACTAGCCCAGAAACAGCAGCACCTGCCATCTCCCCTGGAAGCCAAGGACAGCTGTCCTCAGAGGAGGGAAAATGGCGGGTAAGCGCGGCCCAGGTCCTCTGCCCTGCAGCCCCACACTGCAGCCACGCTTCCTCCTGGCCTTCTGGCCACCCCAAACGTGAGCAGGACCTGCCCCTGTAGAGCTCCATCCAATGAGAACCACAGTCTGCCTCTCCAGGCTGACCACCCTATTCATCTTCACACACCCTGCAAGACTGACCAGCCGGGTGGGGGACAGATGAGCCACGGGTGGCCTGTGTGTCCACACAAAGGGGAAGTGTGGAAGAGATTCCCAGGCTTCCCATTCTCACCCTAAAACATCAGAGTCATGGAAAGGGCTGTTTAACAGCTCTTTCCCACTCCATCCCGGGCAACAGGTCACAGTGGTCACTGCTGCCTCTCTCTTCCTCCGGCTGGACTCCAGTCTGCAGCCTGCTACCTGGAAGGCCCTGCATCTCCCCGGGAACCACCCACTCTCCCAGGTGCTCACTCCCAGATCCAAGGCCTGCCCCTGGGGCTACTGACCCCCAGGGGCACAAAGAGCAAGTCAGCAAGATCAGGGATGCCCCTTCCTGACCTTTCACAGGCCGGGCAAAGGGCTCTGGAACTCGGAGCATTAGAGGCGACGGGCTCAGGGTGGGCAACCTGGCTGGCGAGGCCCTAGGGGGCGAGGCAAATGCGGCACTTTCCCGTGGCTGTCTCAAAGACACCTGCGCCTTCACGACGTCCCCCTGTCCCCAGCCTCGTCCTGACTCCCTGACTACCCTACCTGTTTTCTACACACTGACACACCAGAGTCTGCTCCTGAGCAAACGTAGCTTCTGTGAAAGGCTGTCCCCTGCCACCCCCAAGACACACTGCTCGAGGAACAGGACTGCTGGCTGACACTGCTGTCCTGCCTCATTCCGCCTCACACCCACCTCCCAGGAGACAGAGACTTTCCTGCTGCTTGAAAGACGGTGGCCTGGAGCAGTCACCTCGGAAGACCCAGGACCAGTGCCTTCCCACAGGGAGATGCAGAAAAAATCCCTGGGCCACTTGCCCCCCCCACGGCCCTCACTTCCCTGTGTCCCTAAATCATGGCCTGCCCCAGAACACCCTGACACGGGCAGGCACGCTCCACCTCAGAGGAGCCCTGACATCTTAACATGCATGCCCTTCCCCAAAACTGACACCCCAGAAGGGAACGGCGCAGTGGAGAATATGTGGCCCAAATGAGGGGGCTGGGACAAACCATTTGCTGGACCTCACCGTCACCTGACACAGGACACTAGCAAAGGACAGTCCTCTGAGACATCTTGGAGGAAATGACCCCTTGGCAGAACTGACAGCTACCTCAGAAGCAAGGGCCACCACCCTGGGACAGAACCGCCTCTCCTGAAATAGGTCACTAAGCTGGCAGGAGGCCTGGCCTCTAGCTCCAGGTCAGGGCCCACGGAGTCAGGATGAGCAGGCCCTGCCTGCGCAGGCTCCAGGCAGCCTCCTCCCCGACTCCATCTTCTGTCCACTGCTACCAGGATCCAAAATCAGAAGGGCAATGTCCAGCAGGATGGAGGTCACAGGACCTGAGTGGCTCACACCTACCTGTTTCCTGAGCAGCAGCAGCAGCCCACTCTATAAGGCAGGCCAGCCGCTATGCATGTGGCTGGCCCTTCCACAGGAAGCCAGACCTAATGAGGAAGCACATCTTGGGGCCCCTGGAGCTCTCCCTCGGCTCAGTTCTCCCTTCAGGGCAACGGGTACACCAGGCAGTGCCTGCAGGGTCTGTGGACAGGGCCCCCAGCTGCCACAGGCAGTGGGAGCCACCCAGGGAGGCAAGTCCCCCAGTCCCTCACCTCCATGACGGCAGGCCAGGATGAGCTCAGGTGCACCAGCACCGGCACAAGGAGCCTGACCTGGGCCAGGAAGTTTCCAGGAGTGTGGGCCTGGGCCAGTGTCCCCCAGTTCAAGGAGACCTGCTGTTCCCTCGGAAGATCCAGGACCAGTGCCTTCCCTGTCTACATCTGCATGCCTCCATGGATTCCCAAGAAGCGAGACCAGAGAGACCTCCAATCTAGAGAGGCAGAAAAGCAAGGGGACTGAAACTTGGGGCTGGGATTTGAGCGCTCAGGCTGCCGAGGATTCTGCTCTCCTGTCGGAACATAAGGGTCAAGGATCCAGTCTGGAAAATGGCTTGTTGCATGAGGTATCAGCAGGGGTGGCGGCACTCAAGTCTGGCCTCTGACACAAGTGCATGTCCAGCCCCGCGTCCACCCAGCCCAGGCCAGCTCCGCGCCAGCCCCAGACCGGACTGCCAGCATAGAACGCTGGTGCCATCTACCGAGGGCCAGCGGCGCGCTGGCGGGTGCCACTGCCACCCAGCCTTGCGGGGCCAGAGACGGGAACAGCAGCTTCGGCTTAAGCCGGAGGTTACTCGGCAGCGCGAGAGGCATCGAGGACTCAGGAGGTATCGAGGACTCAGCACGCCCGCACCCCGCGCTTCATCTGAATCCCGCGATCCGCGCGAGAATCCCGATGCGCGCGGGTACACGGGTTCCGCGCAGGGGCCGGGACTGGGAAAGCTCGCGCCGCCGGCCGCAGTGGCGCTCGCCGAGCTTCAGCAGAGCGCGGCAGCGGGGCGGCGGCGGAACGTGCTGGAAGCCGAGTTGGGCGCAGGGGTCGCCACCAGCCGCGAGCGGCTAGGAGCGCGGAGGACGATGCCCGAGGAACTGTGTGCACGCCGAGGACAATTACCTTCTTTCAGGAACTGCGCGTGGATCACCAGGACGAGGAAGCAGCAGAGCGCGGCCCCTGCGAGTGCCCAGAGCGCCTTCAGGAGCTGCATCGCGGAGTGCCAACTCGGCCGACGCCCCCGAAGTCGCGCAGCGAAGGTCCAGGCGCTGCATCAGCGCCCCGCCAGGTGCAGCC